TATCGGATTCTCACGATCTTAATTGTTTTCCACATTGTTTCTTACTTCTGCTTTATATATTTTAAAGCATCCAATGCTTCATCCTTGTGATAAAGCATATAGAGATACATATATCGTGAGTAATCATCAAAAGGTGATGAAATATTTCTGACACTAGAGCTCATGTCAGGGCAACATTATCTGTGTGTAGATTTCTAAAAGTTCAGAACTCTTCCTGGACCCTTCTTGGATTTGTTAGTCTGCTTCCTTTAATGCAGTCTCACAAAGTATCAAAGTCAGTAAAGTCAAGAGTTTCAAGAACTCCAGCATTTACCAACCTTTAATCCTATCAATGGAGAGTGTTCCTAATCTCATATGCCACAAAAAAGAAGAGTTTTCATACATAATATTACGTTTCATACCAGCGTTAGCATGTGAAGTCATAAGACATAAGGAACAGTATCACTTAAATGAATTTTAAAACAAACCATCAATCAAGTACCATTTACAACAATAGATGAGTCTTAATTAAATTAAAAGAACTACCATAAAAGTTGAAAGAGTATCCACAGGTACAAGTTTAGAAACTGAAATTAAATTCCTAGAAAAACTGGAATATAAAAGATTGTTCCAAATCAAAACATAATAGTACTTAAATAAGTCTAAAAGTTTCCAACACTTCAACACGTGAAGGACCTATTTCCGAATAGATGCGATTCACTTCCCAATGGTCCTTTGATCCAGAAAACACCTGTATGGTATTAGAAACAGGATTGTAGAACCAGAATATCCACCATCATGATGTGAAACACAAATCATATTAGATTCATAACACACAAGAGATAAGAGGTTACCTTTCTTATAAGCCAGGCTTTTCTCTTAGGACAATCTTTCTGCATGTGTCCGTCTTTTACAGAAGAAACACTTGTATTGTCCTTATTACCTTGCTCACAATTTCGTGCAGCTTGCCTTTCCCTTCCACTTCTTATTTATTTGAAGTGTACTTGACATTTCCGTCACCAGTGTGCAGTTTCATTACTTCCTGAAGCAGTTCTTCTCCCTCCTGAAACACAAATGGTCAAAAGCTCATTGATTGGACCCATTTATCCTTCTGTGTGTAAAGATATCTTGAAAGGAGTATAATGAGACGAGAGAGGAGTCAGGAAACAAATGCACCAGGAAATCATCATAATCACCAATGAAGGGATTTCAATGAGCAGCTATGTCCCTCATTTATCAATATGACTCACGGACGCCTTAATACCAGTCAACTTCAGGATGTCAATCTACTCATTAGGATGCTTCCTAATGCCTTGTCTGATGTTTCAAAACTATGCATGAATGCCCCATAGATCCTTGGCATTTTCACACTCCGGGTATCGACCCACGGATACTACTCGTAATGTGAGATTTGAGAACATCATGCTTAAACGGTTAGATCGCGCCCCACCGTTCATACAAAGCAATCTCGCTTGAGAGCAGTATCTGTAGGTGTTGGTGGTCTTCCTTACGAAGAGCATAGTAAGATCTATGCACCCTAAACTGAAGGAGACAGCCTCTTCCAGGATTTTATCGTTATCACCATTTAAATAGGAACATATCTCAACCATATCAAAGTTTGATCAACTGTAGGTAATCAATAGACATGCTTACTAAAAAAAGTATGAGGCACAAACCATCAATAACATTATAAGTTTACCAATGTAAAACAATAAATAAATCATAAAGAATCGACATATCATAAAAATCTCCCTGTGGGTTAAAGACATTACATATTATTGATTCATTATCCTTTAATGATGAAACTAGAATTATTAATTTCATAATACCTGTGGGCTAATTAAGAAATAAGATAATTCTATTTATCCCTAATTAATCATAAAAATATAACATTCCCTGTGGGTAAAATGATTAACTAATATGATTAACTACAAAAACGATGTTATTAACCTTAATATGATTCATAACTAATATTTCTAATGCATATATTATCATAATTAGATGCTGCGGCTACTCTAAATTAATCAAAATATATACGATCATAAAACATCAAAATAATTTATAACATGAATTGTATAATATAACACAAATCAATGCAAGAATAATACTTTTATGCATAACAAAGTAATATAAACATAAAAAAACCATCATACAAGCTGCACCGACTTCACGCGCCACCGTGACTAAGGACGAGCCCCCACGGCCCCCAGAAGGCAGCACACACTCTCAGCGCCCTCACGCGCCTCCACGGTCCTATCACGCGCTTGCACGAGCCTACACGCGGCCCAAACAGCACCCTCACGCGCCTGACGCAAGCGCACGATCTGCACGCGCCGGGTCTGACCAGGGTCGGGTTGACCCATTTTGATCGGGTCGGTTAACCCGGTTTGTGTCCCATTGGACCGGTTCGTGACGGTCTGGAACGTTGACCGGCACTTCCGGTTTGACTCGTTGACCGGTTCATTGACCGGGCTGGACTGTTGGACCGGGCGGGTGACTAACGGGGTGGGTTGGGTTGACGGGTCGTTTGACCGGTTTGATTTGACTTGACGGGTCAGTTTGACACGTTTTATCCTATTGGGGCGGTTCTTCTGACACGGTTTTCTGCAACTTTTACCACAATATTTTCTAGATTTCAAAGCCGTTTCCGGCATTTTCCGGCGTTTCCATGGGAAACTCAAATGGGACATATAACTATGTCAGTGACATCCCAAATGACAATTTAGTCCTAAATCGATGCCATAAATGGCTTCCGAAACACCCAAACAAAACTAAACCAAAACTTTAAACTAGCTAATTTGCATCCAGAACTCCGTTTTTGACAAAAGTAATTACCGTTGGAAAGCTTTTTCAACAAGGATTCCAATGACATCAAAATACGAAAACAAATTCTATTTATAATAAAAGTTATGCTTGATTAACCAGTACGGGTTTTATGGAAAAAATCCTAATTTTATGCAATATTTTTCAGATTTGCAAACAAACAACTTCATGCTAGGCAGAGATTCAAATAAAAGCTCTGATACCAAATGTTAAAACACATAAATTCCAATATTCAGTGAAACACAACAATTTCAGTTTAAAAACTCCATGGAATATATGCGGAAATAATGACAAACCTCCAGCCATAGCAATTATTCTTGGTCTTCTGCTCCTTTATGAATTACAGGATCTTACATGACTGCAAATTTGGGTGATGGTTTTAGGATCAAAAATAAAACTGATCAATGGGGACTGTAAACTTCTTCTTATAGCAGTGTCTTTCCATCAAAGACAACTGCTCAAGAGACAAAACGTATGACCACATCAATAGGGACAAAATGTAATTATATGAGAAGTGTAGGACCATATTGTAAAAACGGCTAACAATATGTATTAATTAATATGAACACAAATTGATAGTCTGACAGTTGCTTGGAACTCTTAAGTGTATTACTCAAAAGGTCTTGAGTTTGAATCCTCACGACTATCAATAAGGGCAACCATGAGAGGATTATTCGAACTTAATTTCAGGACCCCAAAGATTAGTTGAAAGTCTGAAACTAGTCCAGATAACCTCGTTAAAGAAAAACACAAATTTTAATTTAACTTCTAAAAAGATTATATTAATTTTTTTTATAACAAATTCTATATTACAAGAAAAATAGTAAACATTATAACTGTTAAATATGATTTTTCCACATCAGTTCTTGACAAGAAATAATTATTAATAAATATAATATTTATAACTTTGAACTCGCCAACATCATGTGTTGCACCCCTCCATAATTATTACGAGTCGCACTAGTTTAGTAAAATAATTAATCACAGGTCACATGTAATACTTGATCCGTACAATATCACAATAGCCAATAATATTGGAAAGAGGAAAATTGGTAACCACAAAGACGTATGTCTCCTCAACTACAATAAATAAGAGACAAAGAGAGTTTGAATGTTTTATGTAACTATAGATTCTCAAGAGTTCCTAAACGGGGAAACCAGTAAAAAAAACAAAATATTAATTGGTTTTCTAATCCTCGAGCTAGCTATATCTTGAATATCAAACTATTAATTGATTAACTCTCAATTTTGGATTATTAATAAGTCTTCATTTCCTTCTTCAAGGTTGAATCTGAATTGTTAGTAAAACTACGTGCTAAGGAATCACAGGTCATCCTTGAGAGTATAGGAATTTAAATTAGGCTCTTTTAATAAACATAAAAAAAAAAAATTATTTTTGGGATAATCGAGGTGTTCAAGCCAATTTGAAGATAATCAGAGTATTCAAGCCAGTTTGCACGTATCTCAACTAATTTCAAGAATTCATTGAACACTCACAAGCTCAAAAGATCAAGTTAGTCACAATATTATTGTAGTAGGTGACCCCAATGTTTAAACCCAAAAACTCAAAAAAGAAAACAAATTTCATTAACCACCAGGCTGACCCTTGGAGTTAACATTGAAAGTTCGTAATAAAAATTGTTAATTTCATGAGTAATGTTATGGAGAAATTGCTCTTACTAATATAAGAATTTCAAATTATAATAAATTTCCTCATTGAACTCTAACCCATATGAAATCTTGCCAAATCTTTTCATCGGAATATAACACCCAATTCCGACTAAATTTAGTGCTAGCTAACAGAAAGATTATCAATATAAACCATTAAAATATATAGAGCAAGTTGAGCACCCTTTGTCATATATTTTGTTCACGTATAAGAGTTCACATGCTGCCTCCCTGAACAACAATTTTAAACACCACTGCCTCATCAAACTAATTAATTCCCATTAGAAAATCAACCCAATGCACACCCGTGACGGTTAACAGCCCATAGAAATGTCAATTTCTGCCATCTCTCTCTTTCACGAGCTGCATGGTTAATTTCTGTGCCCATTGAAAACAGCAACATAACATCCATATTGCTCATATTCATTCTCTATATAAACCAATTCGTGATCCCTCTCCAAGTACACCAAGCCAATAACAAACCAAAAGACTAGCAAAAATCAAGGAGAGCTTCTTGGAGAGATCATAATATGGAAGCATACACAAAGCTTGTAATTGTGGCAGTGGTTCTAGGTTTGGCGATTGGGTCCGATGCCTTTGCGGTGGAGAAGAAGAGTGATACTGAGGGCATTTGTGGTATGACCAAGGAAGGTCTCACGGCGTGTGCGCCATTTGTCACCACCCAGAGCACCGCGCCTCCTTCGCCGGAGTGTTGCTCGGCGCTATCCAAGGCTAACTTCCAATGCTTCTGCGCGTTCAAGAATTCCGGGTTGTTAGGTTTTTATGGGATAGACTTCAACCAAGCCATGCAGCTTCCTACTAAATGCAAGCTCCCCAACTCTTCCCATTGCTAAATTAAGATGTTTGCATCTTGCAAACACAAAAGATTAATGTTTTATTTTCTTCTTGCTTGTTTTCTTGAGCTTTGAAGGTGATCAAGTTGACCCCTTGAGGGTCAATCATTGTTTTACTTTCATTTTTATTTTGTGTTGTTGCACTACTTGTTCAACTAATAAACATATATACCAAGAACTTTGGTTATTAAAGTGATTATGTTCATTGCTATCATATATTTATTTTTTAACAGTTTAAAAAACGAAAATTAAGCAACCATCTATATAATTAAAACATAGTTTGAACCACTCAACAATTTTTATTCTTTTATTTTTGTAAGAATCAAATTAATGTGAAAGTTAATTATATACCTAGCTATAATGTGAAAGCATGAAATATAAAAATGGATTGGATATTTTTTTTCAAACAAGGGAATTGTAGAGCAAAACGTCGCCTTGAGGCTTATATGATTACACTGGTTCTTGGTCATTACTGGGGCTAAATTATGGAAGTGCATTGTTCCATTGATATTGTAAATTCTTAGCTTCACGAGTTGGTTTATATATTGAAGGAAACTATTGCATTCATACTGTAAGTCACATGTTTTTTTGCTTGTGGAGAGTTTCTAATAGATTCAGAAATATTCAGACAAAGGGCATCAAAATATCACAGTCTGAAATAATTAAATAGATTTGGAGACAATATTGATGATCTTTTAGTGAAAGCTTGACAAAAAAAATATTATATACAAACTTTTTATACAAATGAATTCATAAAAATTGATTTGTTAAACTATAATTGAATGACATAAAATTAAAATTAAACATATTAAAATAAATGGTTTGTCAAACATGCACATTTATCATTTCAATCTAAAAAGAATAGTTTATGAGTAATATATATTATATATAATATTACTCATGAATCAAACACTTTCCTAAATCCTAAGTGAGCAAATTTCAACTATTCTTTCAATTTTAATATATATATATATATTATTTTTCAGTCAAGATGTCTTGATATTAACATAACCATGAATATATACCATTAGATCTTAATGGTAAAATATCATTTCAATCCCATGAGACAAATTCAATGGTGTGTATAAACATGATCCTGATGAAAGTATTATCAGGACGTCCTAACCAAAGAATTATTATATATATATAAAACTCTCTTGCAAATTATAAACAGTAATGTTAGGTTCACAATCCAACCTCATAACCTTTAACATGATAACACGTAATTGGTCAACTTGCAAATAGACAAACGAGATCAATTTACAAGCTATCACGGAAGAGGTTATGGAAGAAGGTTGTGACTTGTGAACCTATCATTACTCAATTATAAATTTGTAATTGAAGATTAAATGTGAAAATATTTGTAATTAGAAACAGGCCCAGATGGGGTAGATCCGACGGCTCACATTTATTTGGGCCGACCCAATACTAATCCCAACCTAATTCAATTGCCCCTATTTATAATAAATGAAAAATTGAAAAACAAAATGGTTAAAATCGTCCCTCGTCCTAAATCCTTTAGCAAGCTATCGTCAGATTACCATACAAAATGCTCTGCAATCTGTCGTTTCTCTTTACAGAGTAACAAAATCTTCTTCTCCGCCGTACACACCACCACAAGCCACCGCCACTACTACCGCCGTCTATTCGAGACCTTTTATCTCTCAGACTCTCATTTGTTCATTCTCTATATCTTTCAAAGATCTCTCAATCTCGGGTTCGAAGGCTTCTCAGGTACCATTTTGTTTCTTATTTGCCCAATTACATTTACATGTTTATATATAAAATGGGTTTGAGCTTCTCACTTAGAATTGGGGGAAACTTTCTTACCTTGTAATCTTCATGTTTGCCAAAACCTTAAGCTTGCTAAGTGTTTGAACAAAGTTCTCACTCAATTTTGTTAGCGTAAATGAGGAGTTTTTGGGTTAGATTTTAGTCCAGATTTTAAGTTTGTTGACTTTTTGTTGAGGTATACGAAGAAATGGAGATGGGTTTATATCTGTGAAGAGAACTTTGCAGAGAGATTATTTTCCTTAATTGTTGCGTTTTGACTTGAATATGTAACAGTTACAGTGAGATGGGTAAGATTTAGGACTATAACGAAGTACTTTATGAATGCCAGAAAGTGATTCAGGTGTTTCTTTTCTCTCTTTTTTTATTGATTGAGAAATTATTGTTTTTCAAATAGTTTTAATAGACGGTCGATCAACGGTGTGATATATATGGGGTTGGAGTTTGTCACTCTGGGAAAAAATTGTGATGCCTTTTGTTTTGTTTTGTTTTGTTTTGAATTATAGAGTATCGAGAATTTCTTCAGTCAGCCACTCTGTAATGTTGAATTTCAAATGAGGTGTTAAACTGCTCGAAAACCAATTTGCTTCTGCTCTTCAAATTTGCTGAGATTCATCCTTGAAGCTGGTCTAGTAGGCATAAGCACATTCTTTCTCATATCATATAATTATTGTGACCTTCACACAATATAATAGACTCTGAAGTCGGAAATGCGAGGAAAAAATGTAGTTGATAATTTTTATTAGCAAGCCAGCCAATAAAGTTTTTCTAAGTTAAATTTGAACACAAATCCCCTTGCAGGCTAGTGTCCAACTGTTGAGAACCTAGACCCTCAACGCAACGCCACTCAATGGATTGTAATTCGGAACTCAAATCACAATGTTCAATCTCCAAACAGAACAGAAATAAAACAGGACTTATAGAATTATTGTTGTTTTGATTGCTGGACTGGAAAAGAAATACAATATAGTAATGGGTATGTAAAACCAGTATGGTAAATACAACGCTGGCTAGCTCTTCGAGGGGCTAGTTCCTCCCTAAATTCATACTCAAAAACAACCTGCCTTTTACAATTGAAATTCCCAATTTATATCTGCAAGTCACGCCCAAAGCATGATTCCTGCCATGTGGATAACAAACTCCCCCATTGTGCACACCTGCTGACTGGCCTTCTTGTTAAGCATGATTCCTGCCACGTGGGTAACTAACTCCCCATTGCGCGCACCCGCTGACTGGCCTTCTTGTTCCTTTTGTAAACGTGAGTAGTAGGGGTCGTATCACCAACTAACCATGAGTCAACATAAAGGCAAGTTTTTTCTAATTATCGAACGTGGATTGAAATAAAAATTATAGATTAAAATCTTTGTAATTAAGTAATTATAATTGTTTAAAATCCGAAATGTAGAAAGACTTAAAACCATTTTTAACTAATGTTTTTGTAGTTAAATTTATTAATCTTAGTTAACATAAGTGTTTCATTTTCAGAGTACAGATTGTTTTTTCTTCATTTTTTATTATTAATTTTTATCATGTTTAATTAACTTATATATTATTTTGTGTTGCTCTATTAAGTTGTTTATCAATGTTAATTTTTTTCTTTCTGTAATTACAGCTGCTAATGGTTCTGTTATTTAGCTCAGCCATCAGAATAACTGAGTCCAAATATGCAAACAGCTTCACATTGTTACTCAGTATTTTACTTTCAAACAGGTCTATCTTTATTTTATTTTCTTTACTTTATTTGTTTTAGATGCCAATTAAAAATAATTTAAATGGAGGTTTTGCTCATTTTCGTAAATGATAATGCAGAGAAGTTGTGTAAAACACAATGGGTTTATGAAGATTAATATCCGAATACGGGTTCACTGCGATTAAATGCAAGAGTTTCGTCTTGTAAATTTCAAGGACTGCTCGAGGGATAAGATTATTTGCAATTCGAACTCTGATGACGGTCACCGTAGTGCAAGCTGGAAGAAGATACAACTATGAACAAAGTGCAGAATTCGGAAGCAAATTCCTTCTTGAGCAATTGGTCGCCTCCCCGGTACCTTTGGAGGGGATTATCAGTTCTTGTGTTGGCAGGCCAGGTAATAACTAGGATTTTAAAAGGGAAAGTGCATGGAGAAAAAACTCTCCAGCAGCTCGAGAGAGTTGGCCCACGATCTGTTGGGGTCTGTCTTTTGACGGCAGCTTTGTTGGTAGGATTTACTATCCAATTTGTTAGGGAATTTACTAGATTGGGTTTGAATAGATCTGTGGGTGGCGTCTTAGCTCTGGCATTTTCAAGGGAGCTTAGTCCTGTAGTGAAATCAATGTGGTTGCTGGAGAATTGGAAGTGCATTTGCAGCAGAGTTGGGCACAATGCAGGTCTCTGAGCAAACTGACAGCTGAGAGTTCTTGGTTCGACCCTGTTGATTACTTGGTCACCCCCAGAGTATTGCTTCCTGTGTTGCGCTCCATTTTTGACATTGATGTGTTTCAATGTGGGGATGGCATCCAGTGCCCTACTTTCTGATGGTGTTTATGGAATTAGCATTAACATTACTGGATTCAGCCCACAGAGACTTAGATCATGGGATATAATCAGTGCAATGATTAAATCACAAGTTTTTGGTGCCATCATATCATTGTGAGCTGTGCCGGGGTGTTACACTTTGGGAGGTGCAAAAGGTGTTGGGGAGTCAACGACTTCGACTGTTGTTATCTCCCTTGTCGGTATATTTTAGCTGATTTTGCTCTCTTATATCTTCTTCCAAGGAGCCGGAGATTCCTTAAAGAATTGTGTTTAATGAGTCAATACTCTTCTGGTCAATTTCTGATATTTAATTAGAACCTTTGCTATTGGTATGAAGTAGCAGCACTTATGAAACCCAGTCAACCATGAGTTTAAGTAATATAGCTGCTAGCATATAGATTTGAAATTTCCCCCTTTCGGGGTGGGGCAAGGCATGAATGGAGTGATTCAGACGTAGCTGTAGTATAAGTCATTTTATGTATAAAATTAAAAATACAGGGATTCATTGTGGTTGTGGAAATGTTCTGTGCAAAAATTGAGATAATAAGGTTTTCTCCATGTTATACTTGTCATAGTTTTGAGCTCTAATGCACTTTATTATACCGCAATTTAAATTTCAGTTTCTTACATAAAAATGGATTTTAGGGATGGCTTCCTCTGCAGCTCTAGTTCTAATATAACTTCCAGAAATGTTTTGATCAGAATAAATTTGTCTGATTATTGTGCACCGAGTTTGGACGAGGAACTAACCACATCAGATTATTGTTGTCTAGCCAAGGATTTCACCCTTTTCTTTTGGCGCCCACCACAGTTGGTTTTCTTCTTGCTGATCTTTTGCCATTTATGATCCCAGTTGGTTTTTGCTTGTACTTTATTTTATATTGTATTTTCACAGCACTGGGATAGAGTTTCAATGAACTGAAATAACTTCTTTTCCCTTCTTGGCTCCTTTGTCTTCAATTTTGATATGTGGACAAATAGTCAATACATTATACATGCATAACACTCACGGACAACGGAATATGTTAGCAAAAATGAACGGTTTTTTGCTTATTTTTCTCATGATCGCAATGCAGTTTATTTTAGGTTGCATAATTATTTTTACTCAAATCGGAGACCCACCCGATCCGAAAATGAATGGTTCGGTTCGGTCAGTTTTACTCTACAATTGGTTTTCTTCGGGTTAAGAAAACAAAAGCTGAATTTTAAGTGGTTAGGGTCGGGTTGGATTTTGGTTAGGACGAACAGACAAGTGCCCACCCCTAGACTGTAGGTTGATTTTTGAACAATTTTAGAAACACGAGGGTAATTTTGAATAATAGACCCAAATTCTAATGTAGCTGCATTTATCAAAACCCAGGGTGGCTTTGGAAAATAAACCTTTTGTTATTCATTGATAATAATTTAAATTACCAATAATATCAATAGTTACAAAAAAATAAATTCATGGCGCTCCGTTTGGTTCAAAATTGGGGTTTTGGGAAAAGTTCTTTGAAAAAAGTTAAAAAAAGTTGAATTTGTCGGGTATAGATGTAGGATTATAAATATAAAATCCCTATAATTTATTTTTTTACAAAATACCCCCATATAATAAACATTAAAAGTTAACAAAAATACCCATACCCACCCAAACACCCCCAGTCGGCCACCACCACCGGAGGTGGCCGAAGTCACCTTATGGGCGCATGTCCGGCTGGATCTTGCCGGTCATACACCGATATGGCCTTTTCCGGCAGATCCCGGTGGATCTGGCGGCAAAGGTAGATCTACGGCCAGATCTGGCCTTATTTGCTCTCAACGACGGCCAACAAAGGCGTCGTTGATGGTCAACGATGACCGTTTGTTGGGTCGTGACCGACTGTTACGGCCAAAGATCTGGCCATCAACGGCCAGATCTTTGGTCTCTTGATCTGGCCTTTTCCTGCCAGATCCACCGTGGTCTGGCCGGAAAGACTAGATCGGCACACTACCGACCAGATTCAGCGCGATAGTGCGCCCATCCTACCAGATTCCGACGATTTTCCGGCGGTGGGGGTCGGAATCTGATGGTAAAGTGGATTATTGGGGTGTTTTTGTAATTTAAAAAAAATATTAGGGGGTATTTAATTAAATTAACAAATTTAGAGGGTTTAAAAAAAATTGATAATATTGAAAAAATATTTTCAATGTCAATCGATCAATAATCAAATTTAGGCTTACAGTGTCCCTTTTTTTTTTTTTTTTTTTGGGGGGGGGGGGGGTAAGGTTTAGGCTTACAGTGTGACTGATAAAGATCTATTACATAACCCGAGAAATCAAATAAAAAACTTAAAACAAATTTCAAATGAAATAGGTAAATGAAAAAAAAATAAAAAAACAGAAATTTATATAACTGAAAATTGAAAAACATGTACAATATGAAGAAAATTATATTGTATGTTTTATATGTCATATCTATAATGAGAAATGTAATTGAGCTGATTTAATGTTTTAATTTATTAATATTAATCTAGAAAATGAGACAATTTTATTTTAAAACTAAAGATCTATTTATATCAAACTTATAATTTAATCTTTTAAAAAGAGAAAAAAAAAAAAAAACTAATGATCCTGTCAAGAAACAAAATGGAGAAGTCAATTAAATAAAATCTTCTTAATAAGCTTAGAAAAGCAAATAATCAAAAGAAAATTAGTTATTGGAAAGGAGGAGGAGAACTGCAATAATTTCTCCGAAGTTGTCTTTCATACGATAAATAAGATGGAGCTTGAAATTTGGAATGATCACACCCTAAAATACTTATCCAAATATTCAAATAAAACAAGATTATAATGCCTCATTAATAATTAATAAAATTAAAATATAATCTTCGTAGTATGTATAATTAATATGAACACAAATTGATTTAGTTTGACAGTTTGCTTGGGACTCTAAGTGTATATCAAAAGGTCTTGAGTTTGAATCTTCACGACTACTAATAGGGGCAGCCACTGAGAGGATTTATCGACCTTTAATTTTAGGACCCAAGAGATTAGTTGAAATGTCTGTAAACTAGTAGAATAACCTCGTTAAAGAAAAACAAAAATTATAATTTAACTTCTAAAAAGATATATTAATTTTTTTTATAACAATTCTATATTACAAGAAATAGTAAACA